ATAAGGTCAAATGTTTATAGGTTATTGTTAGGGATTATTCTGGTTTTGTAAATCAGTGGTTAAAGATTCTCCTCCAATAACCATGGTTTCACTAGCACTGGTTAACTAGGTAGGTTTTCTGTACCAGGCATGGAATCTCTCTTGTTGTATGGGTCTTAAGTCCAATTAGAGGACTGCACCAGTCGGGTGGTTATTGATGTAGTTCGCAGGTGTCATAGTTGGGTGAGACTGTTGGTTGCTTCTCTTCTTTGGAAGTTGCATGGCGCCTTCTGATGCCATAAAAGGAACTCCTTAGGGAGGGAGCATTCAGGTAAGTTGCTCAGGGACCTTTGGGTCCTATTTCTGAGGTGCACAATGTCTTTAGCTATAGGGATTCACTTTCTACTTCTAGGGGGTAACCTAGGGTAACAGTGACTGACTTTATATTTGGAAGTCTCTTAGCCCTAGCCAACACCTCAAAAGAGGGCTTCTCCCATCAGGTATTGGGGTTTTGTTTAGTGGTTTGTCTTAGTCAGTATTCTATTGCTGTGAAGAGATGTCATGACCATGGCAACTCTTATAAGAGAAAGAATTTAATTGGGGCTTTCTTACTGTTCCAGAGGTTTAATCCATTATCATCATGGTGGGAAGCATGGTGGTACATAGGCAGACATGGTGCTGGAGCAAGTAGCTAAGAGTTCTACATCAAATCCACAGGCAGCAGGAAGAGGAGAGAGCCACTGGGTCTGGCTTGGGCCTTTGAAATCTCAAAGCCCGCCCCCTCCAGCGACACACTTCCTCCAGCAAGGCCACACCTCCTAATTCTTTCTAATAGAACCACTCCCTGGTGACTAAGCATTCAAATCAAATTACATGTATTATTTTTAGGGAAATGGTTAATCATATGATTCCTTGTGGCTTTTTTAGCCATCTATTTTGTTATTTTACCTCTCTCCCTTCCTCCTCCTATATTGAACTTTCCCCCTTTAAATCAGAAATGCTTACCTCCAACTTATATAGAGAGCTGGAAGAGGTAGCAGAGAAGATAGGTCAGGCCACAAAAGCCATAGGAAAGGTATCCAGGCAACCAGGAACACTTGGTGAGGCGGAGCTTTTCTTCCCTTGGCAAGCTGGGGATGGCACAGGCAAGTCCCTCAGGACGGTCTGATGTGGGAAGCAGCTCAGATGCCCACCTAAGAGGGCAACTTTCCTCAGTCTTGAATCCTCGGGAAGCAGTTCTGGGGGAGCAGTAGCAGGTCTCTGTACACCCTGTCCCTATGACTGTGGGAAACAGAGGTTAACACCAAAGCCAAAATAGATGCCATAAAAATAACACCATTGCCAGGGCGGCGGTGGCACATGCCTTTAATCCCAGCACTCGGGAGGCAGAGCCAGGCGGATCTCTGTGAGTTCGAGGCCAGCCTGGTCTACAGAGAGAGATCCATGGCAGGCACCAAAACTACACAGAGAAACCCTGTCTTGAAAAACTGAAAAATAAATAAATAAATAATAAATAAATAAATAACACCATCACCACTCGCTTCTCACACTGCCCAGCAAATCCCTTCCTAAGAGCTAAGTAATTCTAAGACCACTGTCGTGGAATCTCTTCAAACTAGCCAAAAGTGTCTGCTGGTCCAGCGTCTGCCATGCGCTCCGGGACTCCTGGAAGGCCTTCAGCAGGTCAAGCCATAGCAGGAGTGACAGGCGAGGCGGGGGAGTCATTGCATGTCAGATTTTGTGTCACAGAACACAAACGTAGTAAGTGAAGAAACATGAAGGATTAAAAAGAAAAAGGAAAGAAAAAAGACCTTGAAGAAAGTCTGCAAAGAGAAAGTGCATTAAAGCCAGTTATGGCTGAATACATTGTAATGTATTTTAATTAAAATATGAAATCATTACCAGAGCTTCTTTTAATACATGTTAAACTTAATGTCCTTTTAAAAGTAAAGTGAAAAATTAAGAAAAGTGAATACCCATGTGTATTAGTCAAAGTTCTCTAGAGAAACAGTATTGATAGAATTAATCTGTCTTTATCTCTCTCTACTATCTATCTATCTATCTATCTATCTATCTATCTATCTATCTACTATCTATCATCTATCTACCATCTATCATATCTATCATCTATCTACCATCTATCTATCATCTACCTATCTACCATCTATCTATAATTTATCATCTACCTACCATCTATCATCTATTTATCTACCTACCTATGAGATTTATTAGAGTGGCTTGCAGGATATGTTCTGAATATTCCAACAATGGATGTCTTCTGATGTGAAGTCCAAGAATACAAAAGTTGTTCAGACCATGAGTCTGGATGTCTCAGCTGGTCTTCAGTATATTCAGGAATTCCAAAGAAGGCTCCTACAACAGTGAAGGAGTGAACTTGCCAGCAAGAGCAAGCTCAAGTGAGAGCTTCCTCCTCCTGTGTTCTTCACAGAGGGTGCCCCCAGGTGTGGCCCAGATTTAAGGTGGCTCTTCCTACCTCAAGTGATCCAATCAAGAAAAACAATCCCTCACAGGGTTTTAGGTCCAGATGTAGTCAAGCTGACAATCACTATTAGCCGTCACACCATATATGTCAAAACATAAAACTCAAAACATAAACACCAAATAATTTCCCACCAGACCATACATTGCTATCCATTTGTTTCTCATTCACTTCTTCAGCAGACACTGCTGGCTGACTGAGGGTAAGGGCTGGCTCCGCGGCAAGACCTTAGTCTGTGGTTCCATTGATCATTCAACTAGAGTCAATAACTATAATGAAGACAGAAATAAATTACCCTCTCAGCCGAAATACAGGGAGTGGCAGAACTCACCGAAAGGCTCAGCACTGACCCTCTTCCCTGGGTGGAGAAACACTATTCTGTTATGCTCACTGTCTTCTCTCGTCCCTCTTGCCCTCTCAGTAGGCTTTATCCCCACCCTACCGCAGAGGGGGGAGACAGAAAGAGAACCCTGAGGAGTTGCCTGGGGGAGGGAAAGAGAAGTGTTGAGGTGCCTCCCCGGGTCAGGGTGATGAAGGGCTAGAGTCTGTAGCAGCTAGAAGGGGCCAGGAGGCCAGCCTCCTCACTATTCACTTTACAGATGGCTTATGCTCTTACTCGAGGCCACAGAGATAATGGGCACTGCTGGGGCTAGAACACTGGCTCCCCAACTTCGTGGAAAAGTTTACAATCCTCCTTTCGGCTGGATGGAATCCATAGCCAAAGAGTCAACCCACCACAGCCTTCTGTGGCCTCTTCTGCTGTTATTTTATCTTCCTATATGGAAGTACTTCAACTGGGCGGTGGTGGCACACGCCTTTAATCCCAGCACTCAGGAACTACAAAGAGAAACCCTGTCTCAGAAAAACAACAACAACCCCCCCCCCCAGAAAAAGATTTAAATGAAAGTACTTTATCTCCAAAAATGTAGAACAATTAGCCTAATTACTCGAGGTCTTCTGTTTTTACCAAAACAAAAACAAACAAAACAAACCCTGAAACCAAAACCAAATACACACACACATACAAACATAACATGTACATCACTTGCAGGACTTAATTCTCATACCTTCCATTAGTTTTAAGTGGTATTTATTTACGTGTATGAGTGTAAATGGAGAGATCAGTGGACAGCTTTCTGGAGGCAGTTCTCTACTTCCCCCAGGTAGGCAGGGCTTGGGAACTGAACTTGAGTCCTCAGGCTTCCCTGGTGTCTCTACCCGCTGAGCCCTCTCCGACCCTTCTCAATCATTTTTGCTACCCTGCCTCCCAAGAACAAATTATACTTTCTCTACACTTTTGGAAAGTGAAGCTGGTAACCCTAGCTGAACTTGACGGCTTTAAAGATCTGTTGGGCCAGGCATAGACATGCCAATCTGTTTCTCATTGTGTCTTCCTCTGACGTTTGAATTTTGCTGGCTAGTTATTAGAATTTAAGGACAACATATTCCTCATTTTCACCTTGTCAGTAATGACCTGGGAGATCGTTGACTAGTTACAATGAAGGTGCTCCTTTGACCCTTCGCGGAAGGCGTGCCCTGCCTTTAATAACCAGCTAGCAGACGCATGTAAAGAAGACTAAGCACCTGCTAACAGGATTTAGCCTGGAATTAAGGCAGATCATGTGTCCATCCTGTTCCAGCTTTAGCGTCCCAAGGTCCTTGTCTTTCAGAGACAAGGTTGGCGGTGGCGCCCTAAGGCATCCAAGGTTCTCAGTGGAACCTACTAGGGTCGAACATTTTGTGAGATTCAAACACCCGAGTTTCCCCGGTACAGAACCTCGGTACGACACTGAAACTATTAGCCAACTCATCCCCAGGCACCGGGGGTGGCAAAGCAAGGGCTGGAACGCGGAGCCGACGGGTCTGTCCTGCCGAGCAAGTTTCTGCTTGGGGACGCCTTGCGAAGCTCCGCCACGCCGCGGCGTCTCAAGCTGGGCCGAGTCCCTTGAAGGAGTCGGCTGAGCTCGGTCCCGGCGGCGCCGTCGAGGGCTTCCCGTCCCTGGGGCTCAC